CTCCGCTGGACCCGCCAGCAGTCTTCGAAAGTGGCGACAGTTCCGCAGATCGCCACGCTGGCCCCCCAAGCACCCCTCGAAAGTTGCGACGGCCACGCAGATCGCAGCCCCCCAAGGACGGCGAAGTTGCGCAGATGGGCCAGTTGCCAGGAGAATGGCCGACCCCCCCATCGACAAGCTGTTTGACCATTTCTCGAGCAGCGCGCATCTCTCTCTGGAAACTAGCCCCGGGCCTCGGACCCCACTTAAACTTGCGTTCGCTGACGCGCGCGGTTGCCAACTGGGACCGCGATCCGATGGTTTTACCGGCGCGCGCCAAGGGGACGGCCAACAATATGGCCTCCCGTTCAACATCGCCCACTTCCGAGGCAACGGGGCGGCCGCGCCTTTGGGCCCCCTCCTTGGCCCATCTTTCGACGTGGGAATCCCCGCGAGCAATGGGGTGCTCGCCCGCGCCGGCGCGCAAACAGACTACAGCCCGGCGGCCTCTCACTTTGCTGGCGCGGCAGTTCGAAGTCCACGCTGGGCCTCCAAGAGAATAATTGCTGAAGCCTGAGTTGCGCCACATTCTATCCAGCGCGGCGCACGGAGGGCCGTTGAGACTACGGGCCCCCATGAAATCAGCAACGAGTTCGCGATCTCCGGATCCCTTCAAAACAACAGCGCACAAGGCGATCCATTTGGTCGCTGGGAGCGTCTGCGGGAAGGCGGCCCCAACTGGGCCATCGGGGGCCGCGCGCGGCCCACCGCTATCTCGAAGGCCAACCACCCCCCGCCCAGCACCAATACCCCGCCACTGACTTGAAACACCATCCGCCTGTGAACAGTCTGCGTCGGAGGGCACGCCCCGCTGCGACACCTGGATCGGCGCGCGCGAAAAATCTGCAGCCTTCGGCCCAGACCCTCCCGGGGGCGCAATTCAAGATAAGGCGCCAGTTCAAACCAGCCAGGAGAGGACGGCGGTTCCCGGCACGCGGCTCGACACCCCCCCCTCTGGTCGGGCGCGAACATCGAATCCCGCGCGACCGAGACAGCGAACGCCCGCAAAACCTATACAACACGTAACCACTACAATGCCAGCACGGGCACACAGGCCGAATGACAACGCACCCAGCCCGAGCAACCTCAGCTTCAGTCCACGGCCCCCGGGCGCGATATCCCAGGAGACGCCCTTCTCCCCGCAAATCAAAAGAGATAGGCCCCCAGGCCCCCGCCCAGCGCACAGCGCGGACAAAGCGCGCCCACATCAAGCGCGCCCTCATGGAGGCCCCGTTCCCCGGCCGCACCTCGCCGCGCCCCTCCTCTCCAGGGCAACTGCAACAGGAGGCGGGGGGTGGGCAATAGGGGGGGGGGCGAAGGCAAGACGACGGGCGGCGCGCGCACATTCCCCGACGACAAAAGGGCCTTCATATTTCCGCTCCATCCTAGCCAACGACAGCATCGCAACTCTTGGAGGGCCGCGCACCGCGAACCACCTCTGGGGGGGGCAACACCACAGAAACCAAACTACAAAGCTCTGCGAGACCCCCTGCATAAACCCCTGCGCATGCCTGAGGGGCCAGCACTAGCTCGAGGCCAGAAACACACCACGCCCGCACTCGCCGAACACATTCGCGCCCACACTCCATGCCGACACTCGCACTCCATGCTCGCCTCTCACACTCGCGCCCACACTCTACGCCCACAGTCTACGCGCACTTTCGCACCCCGCACTGCACGCCCACACTCGACCCCCACACTCACACCCCACACCCGCACCCCACGCACACCACACTCTACGCCCACAGTCCACGCACACACTCGCACCCCACACCAAACCCAGAGTTGATTTACCGATTTGATTAGACAAGTTGATTCCCGATTTGGTTTACAGAGAGTTGACTTGCCGAGTTGGTTTCCCGAGTTGATTTCCCGAGTTGGCACGTAGAGCTGATTTAGAGCGCTGGCTTAGAGAGTTGATTTCGCGGGGCGGCCTGCCGAATTGAGTTCGCATGTTGATGTGCCAAGTTGATTTGCCGCCGTGGTTTCGCGATAGGAGGCGCCGAATGGATTTCGCGAGTTGGTTGTCCGAGCTGATTCCCCGAGTGGGAGTTTGACCGCGAGGCGGGCGCCCCCGACATAGCGCGCCGAGATGTCCCGCGTCTCGCGACCGCGTCGCGCGGGCGCACAGCGCGGGGCGCGAGCGCGGGCGCGAGAGCGGGGCGCGGGCATGAAGCGGGAGCGCGGGCGCACAGCGCGGGGGGCGATTGCGGGGGCGAACGCGGGGCGCGAGCGCGAAGTGCGAGTGCGCCGCGCGAATTTGGGCGCCGAGTGCGAGGGGCGGCCGCGCGCCCCGAAATGGCTGCGAGCTAGAAAGACACGATCGCTGCCCCACAGATATACACAAACAATCCATCCTACGAAGCAACAGTTCTAGCATTTCAAAACAATTCCCCAAAATGGACACCCGCCCCCCCCCCCCCCCTTCCGCGCACGATTGCAAGACGCCCTTTAGCAATTACTTCGCGGGTCGCTGTAAAACTGAAGAATCCCAGTAGCGCTGCGATCTCAGGGCCATCATTGAGGAGCATGGGTTTTCGCGGTTCGTCATCGGAACCAGTCGGTGACCTCTGAACCTCGGGGCCTCCATCTTCCCAGCCCCAGACGCCCCTCGCTCTCCGGCGAACGAACGAGTCGATATCCCGGGGCAACATTTTCCAATAATTGGGTTGGCATCCGACTGTCCGGACCTCCTTCTCGTCCGCCCCACCGCGGGAACCCACTGGTTTTCGAGGTCCATCCAACTTCATCCCCTGGCGAAAAAAAACGAATGCAAAGCAGGGCAGGTCGGGTCGGATTCCGCTGGTCCAGTTGCGCTTCGATCTCCCGGGCAACATGTCCACGAATTTTGGTTTGGGCATGGGTTTTCGAAGTTCTTCATCGGCACCCACTGGCTGCCGCCGACACTCGGGGCCTCCAACTTATCTCGGACCTCCGTCGTCCAATTTTGCTCGCCGGCGTACAAGCGAGTGCGAAGCAGGCAATTGTTCTTCTATCTCGTGGAACAGCTGCGTCACGCGGTTGGATTATCTTGTAGCGGGGGCGGGCTGCTCCTGGGCCCGAGCGGGCCTGACGGGGGCCGAGGCGGCTCTGCAATCCCCCCCGGCAGCTTTCCCCCCTGGGCCCCGCGGGGCGCAGGGAGAAGGGGGAGCCGAGCGAGCTCTGCAAACTCCCCCGCTGTCGTCTGCCCGCCCCTTTCGCCGTCGCTGTCGCCCACCTGGATGTCGGAAACCATCTGCGCATCCTGTGGCGGCGGTTCCTGCGATCTCTCTCTCTCTCTCTCTCTCTTTCTCTCTCTCTCTCTCTCTCTCTCTCTCTCTCTCTCTCTCTCTCTCTCTCTCTCTCTCTCTATCTCTCCTCTCTCGTCCCTCGTTTTATCTCTCCGTCTTTAGCGTAAGCTGATTGTACCCTGGACAAGAAAAGTCTCTCCCTTTGATAATATGTATTTGCTTCTCTCTCTCTCTCTCTCTCTCTCTCTCTCTCTCTCTCTCTCTATATATATATATATATATATATCTTTCTCTCTTTCTGCCGAAGTTGTCCAGCGAGCAGAGGGGCCGGGGGCGTGCGCAACCAACCGTTCACAAATTGTAATCCCGGCAAGCTGGCATTTCCGGGCAGTGGTGCGGCGGATCCGTTATTTGCGTCATTGGCGCACACTCAAATATTCAATCGAGAATAGGAAAGACGCAGCACAAGAAATATCGATCACCAGATCACGACCCAATCAATCTAGAGAGGAGCGCAAAAAGGTACGGTATCGGAAAGGTTGCAGTGATTGTGATGTTGTGTTGTTCCTCCTTCTCCTCCCCTGGGCCTCCTGCCCAGGCTTCCTCAGCGACTCCGACGCCAGCGAAGACGATGTGGGCGCGGAGTCAGAGGCCTCGGAGGACAGTGGGCGCCCCGAAGAGGACGCGACGTCGGGCGGCGGCGGCCTGGACACCGATTCTGCCTGCTGTTCCGACGCGCGCTCGGACAGCGTGGACCCCGCTCTGGGTTGCTTCTCGGAAAGGGTCTCCACCGCGCACCTCGGCGAACAGAAGAAGGGACAGAAAGAAAAAAAAAATAAAAAAAAAAAATAGGTAAAGAAAAAAAAAAAAAGAAAAAAGATAAAATAAATACAAGAAAAAAAAAAAAACAGAAACAAAAAGAACAAACAAACAAAAACAAAAAAGAAGCGTGATCCCGCTTGGGCGCAAAGAAAAAACCAAAAAAAAAACAAAGCAAAACAGTCTGGTCTGGTCGACGACCGAACGTCCACGCTAAAAGGAAAAGCGTCGACCCCGCGAAGGCGCTGAACTCCGTCGGGTGGCCACAGGCCCGCGCGCGCGGGCACGGATGAATTGGGGAGAAGGGAGAGCAGCACTGACAACGAGCTGTTTTCAAAAGCACGGCAGGAGCTCGGCCACAGGAAACCTTCCACGAGAAACCCAACCGTGAGACCCAAGGACGTCCATTGATTTGTTGGTGTGGGAGCGTCACGCTTTCCACTGAGAAACCATCAATCGGAGGGGAGGGGTACAGTCTTGAACTAGTTTGGCACCTAACCACCTACAGCTGTAGATACTCTACCTCGTACTGTATCCCTGCTCACGTTATTCCGTTTACGTTCATGGCTCGGTCCTTTCCCACTCCATCATGCGGCCTGGCGGGCGAATACTCGATGGCCTTAGGGCCATGTACTCTTTTCGCGCCTCGTTGCCGTATCTTTTCCAACTGCACTCGCTAGGCTTAATCAGTTATTCACGAACGCCACAGGCTCGCATTTCAGGCCCGATCAACGTCAACAAGGAGGAGGAAGCAGAGAAGCAGGAGGAGGAGGAGGGGGAGGAGCAGGACGAGGAGGAGGACGAGGAGGAGGAGGCTCGAGGAGGATCGAGGCGGATCGGGAAGGCTCGAGGAGGACCTACGACGGCGCCCAGGGAACGAAGGGGGGCGAGGGGAGCTTCGGGGCCGAAAGCCTCGTACAGCTCGGGGAGCCCGCGCAGATCCTGGAGCTCCCGGTGCGCCTTCGCCGCGGCGCTGCGCCTCGGGGCGCCGCCCACCGCGGGCCCCCCCGACGCCGCGCTCGCCGCGGCGGCCTGCCTCCTCGGCCACCGCCCGCGCCGCTGAGCATCGTCGGCACCAGCATCATCATTGGTATCATGATCCTCCTGCCAATCGTTCTCCTCCTGGGACGCTGAGACGCAATTGGCACTGGTGGTCTTCGAACGCCGCCGCTTCCCCCCGGAAAGCCCGGTCGGGCCCCCTCGGGGGAAGTAGACCACAAGACAAAGTTGGGGGCCGAAGCCCCGCAGAACAGGAGGGAGGGCGGAGGAGAGACATATGCTCATCATCATCATATCAGAACCTCAGGAAGAATGAGAGAAGGGATGACAGGTGGTGGTGGCAAGTCTGCGGCGCGGCGATCGTGAAAAGGTGGGCGGGGCCCCTAAGGGGGCAGATTTTCTTGCAAATGTGCCACGCCCTCTCTCCTCCGGGTCTACTAGCCCCTCCAGGCCAGCGCCCTGGAGAGCGCCCAGGGACACCCTCGTCTGAGGCGCCCTTGTGTACTCCCGCATGGGTATCATTTGCAGGCGGTGGCGCGCTGCCCTGGCGGCAAGGAGGCAGGTTGCCATGGTGGCAAAACAAGTTGCCCTGGCGGCAAGAGGCACTTCGCCCAAGCGGCAAGGGTGCTCTGGCGACAAGAGGCAGGTTGCCCCAGTGGCAAGAGGCCCGCGGAGGGCTGAGGCAGGCGGTGAAAAGTAGGAGTAGTTAAGCGCGAGCGAAAAGGCGGCAGAGGTGGCGGCGGAGGCTTGAAGGTTACGACGATTGCGCGGGGCCCACTTCGGTGCGCCACTCGCAGCGGAGAGGCCTGAGGGCCTCCCCCTCTGCCCATGCAGATTCCCCACAGGCGCCCGCCCGCAAGCAGGCGCAGGGTTCCCAGCACGCTGGCCTATTGGCCGCCCTGGGGGGTTCCACCTAGCTCGAGGGCGGCACGGTCCCTCCCCCAGCGGCGGCGCTAAACGGCGCCGGCCGCGCTCGCCAAGGTAGGTGGCAGAAAGGCCTCGCCCCCTGCACATAGGGATCCTTCTAAGCAACCACAATGCCCACGACTGACACCCTCCCCCGCCGAGGCATGAGAGTGGCGGCTGCTTTGGAGGGTTCCACTGCGCGCGTGGGTGGTTTATGCCATATGTTGCGGTGGCTCGGCGAAGAGAAGGAGGTGCCCAGCGGCGGCAGGGTGGGCGCGTGCCCTAGCTGGGCAGCCCTGACGACCGAAGGTGAAGTGAGAGGCTGAGTGGGCGCCCTGGCGGCGCCTGCCCGAGTTGCGACCGCGGCCGCCCTGGCCCTTGCCACGAGGGCCCGCGGCGAAAAAAAAGAAAAAAAAAAGAAAAAAAAAAAAAAAACAAAAAGAAAAAAAAAAAAAAAAAACAAAACAAAAAAAAAAAGACAAAAATAAAGAAAAAAAAAAAAAAAAAAAGAAACAGACAAGAGCCCAGAGGCTGCCCAAGAGCAACCTCACGCCCTGCGGCAAGACCGGGGGGGTCGAGGAGTTCGATGCGCTCGATCCGGGGGGGGGGGGGGCGCGGGGCTGCAAGAAGGCGAGCCGGCAAGGAGTAGATTGGCGGAGCCCCCATGCGCTGCGGGTGAGAAAGCCGCTCGGGGACCCGCGCGCCCCCTGCAGGAATGGCCGCGGGGGCCCACGCCGATCGCAGTCGCCGCCGATACCAACGCAGTAGATATGCCAAAAGAAAGTCGACTCCCATACCGCCAGCTGCACTGCTTCCGTCTCACGAGGAAAGGGCACGCGTCGGCTGAGGGATCGCTCAGAGATGGGAGTAGGCACGCAGCAATCAGCGGCCCTGCCTGCAACGAGGCAAATGAAGCGCATGAAGATATAACGCACTGACCGGCTGCCGCTAGGCCGGTCCGATCGCGCGAAAAAAAAAAAAAACAAAAGAAAAAAAAATAAAAAAAAAAAAAAAAAAAAAAAAAAAAAAAAAAAAAAAAAAAAAAAAAACCGATCGCGAGGACTGCCACGTTGTGCGGGCAATCACGGGGGAGTCTTCTGACTCGCCGTAGGTGGGTCGCGCTGGTCAAGCTGGCATGCTTTGACGGTGCCTGCATAGGTCGGCCATGGCTTCCGCGGGTCGGGGTCGTAGGGCGGGGAGCTGCCATGTCCGCTTCCTGCTGGTCGCCGCGGCGCATGATGCCGCGTCGTCCGCCCGCGGGCTCGGTCGTTGCCGGCTTCCAGTCGCGGGGTGCGTGGCATGCGCCCCCCGCTGTGATGTGGTCCGTGGTCACGCTGCGGATCCTATCAGCCGCGTAGGTGTCGCCGAAAGTGCGCAGCTGCGTCTGGCGCGGTCGTTGCCCACTTCGGTTCTGCCCGCCGTGGTTGCGGCCCCCTTGGGCTGCGCCCAGAGATCTGTCTTTGCATGCTCCACTGCGCTCGGTGACGGCGTTGGCGGCCCCTGGCCCAGGTGTCCGAGTTGAAATGGCGCGGACCCCATGCGCGGCCCGGCGGGCGGCAGCAAGTCGCACGCAGTCGGCGGGTCGGGCGTCGGCCGTCGGTTCTGCTGACGCTGTGGCTCGCCCTTGGCTAAAACGGTCTGGTCGACGATGAGCTCGGCCATCTGGGCCACTGCCTCAATTGAGACGGTGACAAAGAATGGCTCGGCGCACATTCTGAGTTGCGTCGCGTGGCGACCTGGAGATTCATGGGGATGCTTCTCTTCTGCCAGGCACGTCGTCGCGGCCGTGGCGCTTCGAGCGGGTCAGCAAGTTAGCCAGATAGTGGTTGGCGCAGTTGGCCAACTCCCATTCATCTGATTCACGTGGAACGGGCGCGCGCCCCGCAGCTCGCTGGACACGCGGCAGCTGTGGAGAGCTTCTTCCACGCACGCCATGACCTGATCGCATTCGAAACGGAGGCCAGCCGCTGTCGCGCCCCCGTTGGCCTCTGCTGCGCCGGCCACGTCGAGCATCTGGTCGTAGTGGTAGGCGATCGCATCGTGCGTATGCACATTGGACATCACGTGCCCGCGGTCCTACGCCGCTACTGATCATGACGGTCAAGCGCACGACGATGTCGTGCATGCGGTCTTTGGTATTCAGCCCTGTTGTCATGCCTCGCGGCGGTGGAAGTGGGGCTTTTTGCGAGTTCGATGGCCGCGCCCCGGTCACGCTGGGCGTCGTCGCCGTTGGCCTGCGGGGTTGTTGCGCCCTGGCCCGCAGTAGTCTGGCTCACTGCTGCCCCCTGGTTGCTTTCGTTATTTCACGGGGTGGTCGGCGGTGGCTTTGCAGGTGCCTCCTGTCATGGCCGAGGTGCGCTCGTTTACATGCCCTCGCAGCCGCATGCTGCCCCTGCAGCGATGGGTGGCGCGATGGGCGCTGGCGCCCAGATAGCAGCAGGCGGCGCGACACATTCGCTGGCGGCGCTGATGTCGTCGGCATGACCTGCGCTGGTGCCTCGCGGAGTTTAATCAGGCTGGGCACGTAAGTTGACGCCGGTAACTGACCCCTCGTGGCTGGAGGAAGCAGCGGCCCCCATGGTCGGGGCGGCCAACAGGCCAGGCATTAGGTAGTCACCGTCGCGTTTTGCTGCCTGATACTTGAGTCAACGGCATTCTCGCGGTGCGCGGTCGCAGCCCGCGGCTGCGCTGCGTGGATCTCCGCGATGGTCATGAGCGTCCCGTGCTGCGCGCCGAGGTTGCGGCATTGGTTGGGGAATAATAGCCGCGCGAAGTGACCGATGTCGGTGTCGGAATGCTTCGCGTCGGCCACGGTTCCCTTTTTTCCCGCCTGCTTGCAGGAGCGCGTCGCGTTGGTCAGTCCACGAAGCTTCACGCATGTCCACGATGAAGGTGTACACTTGGTAAGTCCAGACGAAGTCTTTGCCCTCGTACTAGTGAAGACGATGGGTAGTGGCAGACGGTGGCTGGGTGCTGATGGTAGTCCTTCGGGGAACCCAGTGCCTCGGATTGCCTCGTCGAGCGCATGCGAGCTCCTAGTCGCAATGCCACAGGCCAAGTCGGGTTGCCATTCGGAGGCGGGCCAAAGTACAATTCGCACCTGTCCTGAATCAAGCCGCACTGGTTGACGGGGCACCCTCTAGACCGCGCTGCTGTGCTGCAGGTAATGGAGCTCCGCGTTGAAATTCTCACCAACTGGGGCCAGGTCGCCGCTTGGGCCCCCTCCTCCTGCCCGAGTCTAAGGCGTCATGTGGAGGTTGTTACTGTCGAAGTGTAGGCTGCCGCTGCGAGGGCGCGCGCCTCTGGCTTTGATGGTGGCGAGCACGCCCACCAGGCGCAGCAGAAGGGGCAAGGCCTCGCTCTGGTCCAAGACGTTGCCACTATGATCCGTCGCGCGGCGCAGTAGATTTCACGGATCTGCGAACGGATTGCCGCGCGCTCGGCATCCTGGAAGTCCGCCCTCTTCTGCACCAGAACCCCGTGGGTCGGGTCGACGTCGTCCATCTCGACTTCTCGCGGGCCCAGCTGCGGGGGGGGGATCAGGTCGGCGCGGCCCCTCTCCGCCATGGCCTTGGCTCTTTCCCTCGGCAGCGCTGTAATCAGAGCGCGTCTTTGCTTGGATCCGCGGCCGTCTTCACCCGGGCGCGCCCACGCTGCTTCCTCTAATATGGTCTGTGAGTCGGTATTGCCGCGCACTGTAGGTCCATATGGTCGACGTTGGGGATGAGGCAGTTCCCATGGGAGAAATCTCGCATCGCTACGTCGGCCCTCTCTTCGGCCGATCTTCCACAGCTCGCTGGCGGTGGCCAAGTCGGCGAGCGCGTAGTGGTGCGGGTACAGGGTCTTCATCCACCCCCGCGGGGCGTTGGTTGGGGCGTAGACTTGCCCGACCTCCAGCGACGCGCACGTGCATGCGTTGGAGAAGGTCGCAGACTACATACGACATTGCACTCGGTCGCGCACCCGGCCACCTGCCATAGCGAAGGCGGGGTCGAACCGAGGATCTGCCAGCGGTCTGTCGCCCAGCACCTCGGGCCCACGCTCGTTCGGGCCCCGCACCAACCATGGCACGTC